ACACACACACACACAGATACACACACACACACACACACAGATACACAGACACAGACACACACATACACACACAGACACACACACACAGACACACACACACAGATACACAGACACACACATACACACAGACACACACACACACACACACACACAGCTTTAAGGCTTTTGTTTTCTCTCCTGTAGCCCAGGCTGGCCTCCTATTGGTCAAGTGCTAGGATTGGAGGCGGGTCCTACCCTGTCTACTTTCTACTGTAGTGAGCACAGAACGCAGGCCACGCGCCAGGCAAACGCTCTGCAAACGGAGCTGCCCCTAGCCCTAAAAGGCTTCTTCGGAGGCACACAGCACAGCAGGATTTCAGCCCAGACCCACCCAGACCTTGGTCCAGTGTTCCCTGACCTGCCCCTGCCCCTGCCCCTGCCACTCTTGTGAAGCTCTCACCCCAGCTGTTCTTTGCAGACAATGCCTCCGACAAGGACTTGGCAGACCTGGTCTCTGAGATGGAGGTGATGAAGCTCATCGGCAGACACAAGAACATCATCAACCTGCTCGGCGTCTGCACTCAGGAAGGTGGGCGGGGCCCGGGTGCTGGGGGGGCCTTGGAACTGTCGCAGCAGGATGCAAAGGCACAGGCTTGCCAGCCTTCCCATCCCTGGTCCTGCCTGCCCCCTAGGGCCCCTGTATGTGATCGTGGAGTGTGCTGCCAAGGGAAACCTCCGGGAATTCCTCCGTGCCCGGCGCCCACCAGGCCCTGATCTCAGCCCTGATGGGCCTCGGAGCAGTGATGGACCACTGTCCTTCCCGGCCCTGGTCTCCTGTGCTTACCAGGTGGCCCGAGGCATGCAGTATCTGGAGTCTCGGAAGGTGTGGATGAGGGACAGTGGTAGCGAGTTCTGGCCCACTCTAACTCCAGCTTCGATGCTGGGGCTGACTGTCCCCAGCTGCTCCTCCTCTCCTGCTCCCTGCTCCATCCTTTCTGCACGGCTCCCACACAGATGCAGCTAACATGCCCCTGTCTGCGACACGGCATGATCCAGTCTATTTAATGACTCCTGGGCAGGCCAGCCATGGCGCTCGTGCCGGCTGGGGACACGCGTGCTTCCTTCTTTGTCTTTTTCTGGTGCTGGTGATTCGACCAAGGCCTCTGCCTGCCCCCTTTCCCATCTGTCCTGGGGGTGGAAGTCTCTAGGCCCTGGGCATACTGTGACATGATGAGCTAAGTTCCCTGCCATGTCCCTAGTGCATCCACAGGGACCTGGCTGCCCGAAACGTGCTGGTGACGGAGGACCACGTGATGAAGATCGCTGACTTCGGGCTGGCCCGAGGCGTCCACCACATTGACTACTATAAGAAAACCAGCAATGTGAGAGGAGCAGGGGGGCACGGGAGCGGGGCTGGGCCTGGTGCCGAAGACATAGGTTCTGGTCGGCTCAAAACCACTTTCTCCCCTCCTTCCTCCAGGGCCGTCTGCCAGTCAAGTGGATGGCTCCCGAGGCCTTATTTGACCGAGTGTACACACACCAGAGTGACGTGTGAGTCAGGGAACAGGGTTCTCTTCTCGGATGACTGCTGGCTTCACGCAAACCCTTCATTCTAAAAGGGCAAGGCACTTGCCAAAGTCACAAGATCCTAGGAGTTCCTCTGCTTGGGCCTGGCACTTGTGTGGGACCAGACTCCAAAAGAAAGGAGTGCCACTCCCTGTTCCCATGGGCGGACCTTGACTGCCACAGCCCCTCGAACAGCTGGAGGAGGCAGGAAGGAAGCCGCCCCATTGAGCCCCAGTTCTGCCCTCAGGTGGTCCTTTGGGATCCTGCTGTGGGAGATCTTCACCCTCGGCGGCTCCCCGTACCCCGGCATCCCAGTGGAGGAACTCTTCTCACTGCTGCGAGAGGGCCACAGGATGGACCGGCCCCCGAACTGCCCCCCAGAGCTGTAAGGATGCCCTCCTTGGCCTGCTCTCCAGATCTCGCCCTCTGCTGACTGACCTTGGGCTTGCTTTGGGCCTGCACACAGAGCAGCACTCACTGCACTCACAGTCCCTCCTCTTCCTCAGCTCTCCCACTGGATTTCCTTGCCCATCCCTCCCTGAGGCCCAACCCCAGGGAGCCCACAGCCCTCACTTTGACATAAGCTTCTTTGACTCAGGTATGGGCTCATGAGGGAGTGTTGGCACGCAGCACCCTCGCAGAGGCCTACTTTTAAGCAGCTGGTGGAAGCCCTGGACAAGGTCCTGCTGGCTGTCTCTGAAGAGGTACTGCCCACTCCTGCCTCCACGCCCCCCCCCCCCCGCCCGCTCCCTTGGCCTAGGGATGTGAACCGCCCTGTCCCTGGAGCTGGGGGCTGACCAAGTCTGTTCCTTGCAGTACCTTGACCTCCGCCTGACCTTTGGACCCTATTCTCCCTCCAGTGGGGACACCAGCAGCACCTGCTCCTCCAGCGACTCTGTCTTCAGCCATGACCCCTTGCCCCTGGGGAGAAGCCCCTTCCCTTTTCCTGGCGTGCAGGCATGAGCCGGGGCACATAGTGTGCAGGCTGGGGGACAGTGGCCATGGGCCTCCAGCTCAGTTGGATGCAGCATTTGATGCTGGCAGTACTGGGCCTCTGACTAAGGCTACTGCTGTCCCGGATGCTCTGGCTCTGCTTTGAGGAGGTGCATTCTTGGTCCTAGGGTTCATAGTTCAGGCCTGCTCTAGCATTATGCTCTCAACCCAGAGTTCAACTCTAGTCTCGGCCCTGACTTGTCTTCAGAGAAGCTAAGCACTAGGCTCCATGTTCTGGGCCTTGGCACTTAGCCTCCATGTCAGGGGTTTGCCAGGCCTGGCTGCAAAGCTTTTGTCATAAACCTTTCTCCTTCCACAAACACCCCAGAGGTGAGAGTCCTCTGGCCCTCACTGCTCCCAGCCGGCAAGCCTCACCCCCTATTGTCTGTTCCAGCATCTCGGTGGAGCCGGCATCAGCCTGGTCCCTGAGAGACTAGTCTAGTCCCTGAGAGACTAGAAGCCTATGGAAAACACAGAACAGCATAGCATTTCATAAATTATTTTTTGAAATAAATCTCTGTGTGTCTGGTGTCTCCCGAGGGGCAGGGTGTAGGGTGCAAAGACTCCCCATGCTGGGAGTTCTGTCTGGAGGATAGACAGAGGGACGGGTACCAGCCTTCAGTTGGACAGTTGGCTTCCACCTCCGGCTGTGCTATGGCCATCCCAGTAGACACACACCCCTGCCTCTGTCCATCCCTCCGATTACCAGCATCCTCCTAGTGTGTGCACTGGTATGAGTGAGTGCTCGAGGGCACAAGAGCCCACAGCGTACCATCTGCAAGGCAGGCCCTTGTATCCTCCATACATGTGAGTGGACACGTTTGGCCCACAGCTGTCCCCAAGGGAGCTGTGCCCCTCCCCCATCTGCTCAGCATTAACCAAACTGACCGTTAACACAGCGTGAAAACCTGAAACCAAGCCTCCAGCCACTGCCTGCTCCCACGATCCGCCAGCTCAGGCTCAAGGCCTATGGGGTCCATGCCCGCTCTGCCCAGCCCTGGCCTGTCTCCCAGGCAGCAGCTGGCTGCCGCCTGGCTGAGCTGCAGCTGTCCCCGCTTGCATGATCCTCCCTGGAGGCTGTTACATCCCTGTTCTCAGTCTCCCCCCCCCCTTAGAAGGGATCGGCTTCCCCAAACTCTGAGCCTGGAAACTTACCACGCTCCATCCTGGTAGTTTCGGCTGCTCCCTGAGGCTGAGAGGCCAAAAGTGGTCCCAGACTTTCTTGGTGTTCTGCTCCCTTGTTCCCGAGAGCTGTCTGGGAATGAGTGCTAGAAATATGCTTAGGCTTCCTGGGCCTAGCAGTAATGTAAGGACGGGCTGAGAGGTGGCTCATTGTTTAAGGGCATGGGTTGCTCTCCCTGGGGCCCAGGTTTGATTGCCAGCACCCACTGCAGCCACCTGAAACTCCAGTTCCCAGGCAGCTAACACCCTCTCTGACTTCCATGGGTTCCAGGCACACAGACACATACATGCAGGCAAAAAACTTGCATGCATAAAAAGAAAACAAAAATAATTTTATAGAAGGCTTAAGGATGGCTCGTTCACTAAGAGCCACCCTGGAAGACAGCCAAAGCTCATGAAAGGAATAGCATGTCCTTGTTATTCTGGGTTCCCTCCTTGCCTTGCTGAGCCACCATATCCCAAACTGTGCCATTCATCCTGCCCTCCAGACTGTACCTCATCCAGAACACCCTGTCCTAGAGAGGACACCAGAACAAAACCCACAAATTCTCCCAGGTCACCCTTTTCCCTCAGGAACCATGTTCCTTGGTGGGATGCAAAGAGCGTTGGACTTGGAGCAAGGGTTCAAATTCTGCTACCTGCACCATCTCACTGAGGTGCCCGTGCCCAGTATCATCACTGCTCTGTGGCCACTTTCTTCACCAGATTAGTGGGGTGCCCCTGCCCTGCCTCTCAGGACTTGGGGGATAAAGCACAGATGGATATAGTTACACTTGGGGAAAGGCTGTCTGGAGCCCGCACATGCTGTAACTTTACTGGGAACTGGCCTCTTGCAGAATGGTACACCCCCATTCCCAGCCAGGTCTGCACCCCACTTCTGTTCTCTCTTGTCCTGCAGGAAGCCCCAGAGAAGCTCCAGCTTTTATTCTCCTTCCTGCACAACTCCCTGAATAAGCACTGCGCATGAGTAGTAGTTCCACAAACCCGTAAATGTTCTGATTGAGGCTTCCAAGCTCAGCTTCCCGTTAGAGATCACTGCTCAGAGGCTGAGTCCATCGCCATCCAGATGCCTACTCTTGAGGCAGATTCCTTGGGTTTGCCTGAGTTAAGAAAAGATTGAGAAGCCAGGAATGGTGGTGCCCAGCACTCGGGGAGGCAGAGACAGGCCGATCTCTATGACTGCAAGGCCAGCTTGGTCTACAAAGTGAGTCCAGGACAGACAAGGCTATACAGAGAAACTCTGTCTCAAAAAAAAAAAAAAAAAAAACAAAAAACAAAAAAAGAAAGAAAGAAAGAAAGAAAGAAAGGAAGGAAGAAAGGAAGGAAGGAAGGAAGGAAGGAAGGAAGGAAGGAAGGAAGGAAGGAAGGAAGGAAGAAAGAAAGAAAGAAAGAAAGAAAGAAAGAAAGAAAGAAAGAAAGAAAGAAAGAAAGAAAGAAAGAAAGAAAAGAAAAGATTGGGAGTTTTGAATCAGGTATAAGGACCGGGAGATGTTGATTGAAAGTCCCATTGTTCACAGTTTCTCCCTTGGCCCATTGCTAGTCCTGAGCCACCCAACAGTCCCCCTCAGCACAGACTGTGTTCCCTTCAGGGAAACCAGCGGGCGTGTATGGTGCAGGATAACACGCCTCTAGTCCAAGCTACTAGGGAGACTGAAGGCAGAAAAATCTCTCAAATTCGAGAAATGGGGTGGGTGCTGGAGAGCTGGCTCAGCAGTTAAGAATCCCCTCAGCTCTGGCTGAGGACCTGAATTCAGTTCCTAGCATCCCCTGCGGGTGGCTTACAACCAGCTCTAACTTCAGTGCTGGGGGGTCTGGCTCTGCTGGCACCTGTATGCAGCGTGCAGACACAAATACACATAATTAAAAACACAATAAATATTTTTTTTATTAGGGATTTGAAATCAGCCAATAATACATATGGGGGTTCCATAAAAGAGCTGGGCTGACCCCTCAGGTTCTCGGCAGGCTCTGCCTGTGTATCAGAGCCCAGAGCCAGGTTGTTCAGACTGGGCAGCTGCTGCTGATAATTGCTGGGGTCCAGGAGGGAGCGGACACAGCGAAGCTGCCTCAGAGAAGAAAAGGAAGAAGTGACTCAGCTGCAGTTTGGGGCCAGCCTGGTATAAGACAGACCACGTTTCCAAGATGAAATAATAAAGTCAGAGATGGTGGGCTCATGCCTGTAATCCAGGCCCTCAGGAAGGCTGAGGCAAGGAGATCACATCATATTTGAGGCCAGCCTGGGTTACAAAACGAGTCATAGGCTAGTCGGAGCTACAGAGTGAGACATAGTTTTTAAGGAAAAAAAAAAAAAGATTAAGACCATAGAAGACAAACATGCTGGCACATGCCTAAAATCCCCACAACTTGGAGACAGAGGTAGCACATCTCAGTGAGTTTGGGGCCAGCCCAGTCTTCATAGTGAGGTCCCGATAGGCCAAGGCTACAGAGTAAGGCCTTGTTGCAAAAACAAAACCAAAACATGGAGCAAACAAAAAGGACTTGGATTTGGTTACCAGTAAAGACAGAACAAAACATGAAATGAGGCTCCATAATGTAGCTGGACTGTGCGTACAGGGCCCAGAGCCAGATGCTGGGACTGACAGGACCAGCTGCTGCCTGGTAGTTTGGGGGTCCGTGAGGGACTGGCCAGCCTGCCCCGGGCCCCTCCCCACCAGTGTCCCTGGCAGGCACACAGTGGCTGGGGCTGTTTCACATTCCTGACGTCCCGAGTCAGGGGACAGATGCTGGTAACTCTCCCATGCGAGCTTTGCTGCTCCGTCAAGCCTGCCCTTCCCAGTCGGCTCTGGGCAGCATGGTGACAGCTGGGGCCTGCCCCCTTCCTCTGTCCTGGTTCTGGGAAGCTTTTACCCTGTGGACAGCGCTGAGCCCCTCTCCAGAAGGCCGCTGGCAGACTGCTGAGAGGGACAGACTGACAGCTCTCCAGCCCAAGGACATGAAGCTGATGGCAGCAGAGTGAGGGCCTGGGAGGAAGGGTCCAGGGCAGGAGCCACACAGCCAGTTGCCCTCTCTGAGCCCGCTTCCCAGCCGGCAACGCAGGAATGGGTGATGGCGCCTGCCAAACAGTACTTGAGTGCTGGGTAAACAGCAGCTGTTACTGCATGGTGATTAAGTGGGGCCCAGGAGGGTGCTGTGCGGGGTGGGGGCCGCTGGCTCAGCTCCTTCTCTCTGGACAGCCCTTCCTGCAAGGCATGCTCACTGGCAGCATTTCCCTGAGGGAGACACTGAGACTCAGGTTGGAAGTAACTGGCCCCAGTCACACGGGAAAACTAGTGAAGTGGGGTTGCAGGCAGGCGGTCTGTTCTTTCCCTGGGGAGCTCATCATGCCCTCTGTGGCCCAGCATTTCCTAGTGTTCAGAGACCCCGGGAGGCACAGAACTCCCAGCCTGACAGCCCAGGTGGATGTGGTTCGTCTGGACCCCCCACCCCTTTCAGCCCCCGCCCCCGGCCCCGCTCGCCTTGTGCGCCCCACAGCCTTCCCCCCCCCCCCGGCCTTTCCTCCGGCACACTTTTCCTCCCACCTTTCGCTCGGCCAAGCCTGTGTCTGTTTGTTGTGTTTGTTTGTTGTTCTTCCTATCCTAGCCGAACACAGTCACTAAGCGCTCACATGGGGGCGGGCGTCTAGCATCCATGCGTCCTAGGTTCAGGTGTGGTGCCGATACCAAACCTCCCAGAACTCCACAGACGGAAGGCTAGAAGTTCAAGGTCACTCTCAGCTGCACATCAGGTCTGAGGTCAGCCTAGACTCCATGAGGTACCGCTGACTCAGACCCCAGTTGCCACAGCCGCACCCCACGCCCTCTCAGCCTAAAGCTGAGGTCTCCCCATGCAGGGACTCATGGCTGAGAAGGAGGGGTGCCCCTGGTGGGGATGCGGCTCAGCTGATGCTCTCGCCTGGCACTTCTGAGATCCTGCACATCCCCCCCAGTGCCCATGTAAACCTTGCACAGCGACTCAGTGGCTCCCAGTGCTTAGGAGGCTGACGTGAGGAGACCCACGAGTTCAAGGCTGCCTGGGCTGTACCGTGAGTTCTAGACCGGCCTAGGCTCCAGGGTGAGACTTGCTTCAAAAAATCATAACGGGGGAAGCCTTCTGCAGACGGCCCACAGGGAACGGCAGCCGGCCTGGATCAAGGGCGCCGTCCATCGGATTTTCCTTTCGGCTCCTTCGGCTGGAGATTGTAGGGCCAGACCCATGGCAGGCCATCATACCACTGAGCCAAACCCAGACCCTTAACATACTTTCTTTTTTTTTTTAATTTTTTTTAGATATTTTATTTTATTTTATTTTATTGATACAGTATTCTGCTTGCAT